TAAAATGGGTTTGAAACTCTGCTAAATCCGCGAAGTGCAAAATGTTTTTCACAAGAAGAAATTTTAGAGTAAAATACTAATAACTTAGCTATGATGCATGGTTTTAGGAACTTAAAATTTTCAACTCTTCTTCTAAAGGCCATAAACAAATGGCCTTTGAATTATAGTGCGGCTAAGGAAACATTTCTAGGTATTCCTCTATCGTGATCTCGCGCTTACCGACTCATTTAAAACACATTAACTTAAATGAGAACAACTAGCAATTATATTGTGCCACAAGCTACTTATATTCAGTCAAGATTATTTCCAATATATATATATATATATCATATCTTTTACCTTAATCTCTACTCTGTAAAAGTCAATGGCAAACATATTCTAAAGATTCAGTATTTGGCGATATATAAATGTACATGTATGAGAGTCTTGGAATGAGCGTAAATGTGTTCGAAATYAAGATAAACGTTTCAATGTCACCTCTTCCCCAAGCCGCGATTTGCGCTTTTCAAATTTTATTTACTTTATCTTCCACTTGCATTTGTATTTTGGTTAGTTGGCTGAAAAYTTACAATGTGCCTTTGTGGCTGCCACTTTGGAAATTATTTCCGCAAAATTAATGTCGTTCAATAGCCTTCACCCGAATTTCAATGCAAAGCAATCAAATTCGTTTTGTCGCCTGCTAAACGAGGCATACAAACACTTAGCGCCGGAGAGAGCACTCAGCATTGAAAGCATTCGAAATTCTATTACTTTTGCGGCAATTATGCGTTCTCAATGGCCGTTGCGGCAAGATGTCGTGGCCCGGTCGTCATTTATCTTGCACCAATTAAGAACTTTTCAAATTTCAATTAAATTCCATATAAAGAAATACACATATATATGCCGAGTACAAGTGATGGCACGCACACCTATACTCTCTTGCTTTTCACTCTTTCTCTCTCTCTCTCTCTCTCTCTCTCTCTCTCTTCAAGTGCAAAAACTTCGCAGCCTCAAATAACATCTTTGATTTCGTCAATAAGTTTATGAGCGCGTGTTTTCTGTGCGTCGACTACATCTCTATTTGCTGTCAGTTTGACAATTCGCTTATTTCGTTTTAGAATTAAGTACCGCTCTCCACCCTAGCCGGTTATCTCATCGATTTTTAGCGAAAGCAAAGTTCAACACGCGACGATTAGCCAAAYACCGACAAGAAAAGATAGGGAGGGAGCGACGCAGACCATAAAATAAATAGCGCAAGGGAAAATGTGAAATCATAGAAGAGAAAGAGTAGGAAGTAAAGGATAAATTACACCAAAACTATTTAGCAAAACTCTACGAAAAAGGAAATCGCATGCATAACCGTCAAGCTCAACGATGTCGACTTCAATAGAAGACTTTTCATTCAAAAAAAAATTAAAGTAATCACCACCACGACCTTAAAGCTTTGCTTCCGTTGATGAAAGTCAATTAAACATAAACAAACGCCTTGAAGCTCCATGAGCTCCTTCCGGGCGGCTCTTTTAGCCGACGCCGGCTATTGACGCCGATAACGTCAGCGCTGTTAATCAAAACTTGAAGCTGTCACTTGAAAACAACAACAAATGCCAGCTTTGACCTTTAGCTGGCACATTTCAAAACTTTTAATTCGACGAGCAGCGCGGCACGAAGGCCAATCAAAGCGTTCGGCTGGTGAAAGTGAGTGCACTTGGGTTAAAATAATTAATGAATTTCGATTAATTTTAATTGAAGTCATGTAAATGTGCGGACGAAAGATTRAGTGACTTAAATCAGATTGAAGACAAGCTTTATTTATCAAATATCAAGTTGAGGAGAGCGTAGTGAAAGAAGTTATAGCTGGTTAAGCGAACTTTCAAATATGAGAAGCTCAAAGCTTTTGATGTAAAATGCTTTAACAAAAACACCAAAAAAATTKATATTCATCTAAGAACTGGTTAGTGCATGCAGCCTAAAAAATTCCGAAATCGATAAGGCTATCTCCAAAACCGCTATAAAAAAATGTTAGGCGGAACTTCCTCTAACGAGAACTTGTGCATAACAACGTCTGGACTTAGAAAAGTGGTTTAATCCAAACTTTACTGCTTTAGGTTTGGTTCGGTTAGATGGGCTCCCAAGGGTTTAAGTCTTGACCTCCCAAATGCGGGTCAGTCCAGAAGGAAGTGTAGAGTTGCTTCCATCTCATCTTCATCCATCCAACTTTTGAAGATGGTATCTGCTGGAATTTGGAGCGTTACTGTGTGACAATGGCTTATTAAAAGTCCCACAACTAGTGAGAGGAGCCTTACTGAGGGCAAAGAGGCCTCTTGCGATCGATGTTGGGTCAAAAGCACTGCTCCGCTTCTATTCTACCGATAAGGGTTCTAGGACTCTTGCTAGCTCATCAGCTTAACAAATTTCCTGCGATTGCGCTGTGGCCTTTCACTCATACCAGTCTTATCACAAAGACACTCGATGCTATTGATAGCGAAATTAGGCACTCTTCGGTCAAGCCGGAAAGCTCTGCTAATAAGTTCAAAGCTGGCATCGCCACTTTGCTGTCTGAGTGGATGGTCACTTTTCTAAAGGCGGTTGCACTTCGGAACAGTAAATCTACTGCTACCTTGTGTCTGCAGCTTCGGCCTGGAAGACGCTGAAATAGTCGGAAGGTCTAAATTCGGAGATTAGAGAGAGCTCCCAACAGTAGACCCCTCCACCAACCCTCCCCCCAAAGCTTTGAACCATACATGAAGAGGTTCACTGCTTTTCTCTTCCAACGACTTCTTCTCACCCATAACTAGAGGAGGAGCCGCCAGAGTTCGGTTTGAGGCTTGCATTGCCGCCCAGATGTCCTGCACTGTCTCACTCGTGTTCACAAAGTCCAGCTCTTTGATATATTCCAGTATTCTGCTATGTGCTAGTCCGGCTTTGACACACACTTTGAATGGATTCAAAGAAGCAACCAGGTATTTGCGATATGAAATAAGCCAACAAACAATAAAATTGAGCAAAGATACGAACACTTTTTCCAAACGAAAATGTCTTGGGGTCAAACTAACCCGCTTTGTTTAATTAAAGGAATAAAAACGCAATTTAGKAGGGGAGCTATGTGTTTGTGCTTTCAAGGAATAAACTTATTTCATTTTTCGCGGAAGCCAGCAGTYGTTTCATGCAAAAGTTATACAGTTCTAAACAAACAGTCACTTTCAAATTGCCATCGGTGGCGTTTTCAAATACAAATAAAGTCCACTTCTTTGAAAAGGCACCGCTTATGCCTTAATACTCGGAATTTGTTTTAAGGCAACACAAAATATTCGCCAAATGCGCAATGCTGGAGCCACTACCCACTCATACACACAAGCGCGCACACTCCATCTGCTGCCAAAGCCTTTAATTTTTCAAGGACACTCGTGTGCGCCATAAAATCTGTTGTTCAAATTACGCGCAAAACTTTACCAAACCCTGAGGCCTAGGCATAGCCGGGATTAAATAATGGCGCTGGCTGGGTTGCCAGCCACTTTGTGGGGGAGGGAGGTAATAGTTGCTACCTCTGTTGTGCGCACATTTTACTGCTACCTGAGACACGTTCAAAGGCATTCTTTGCTTGTGACCTACCTGCTGTCCTTACCCTCTTGCTGCGTTACCCACTCGGGCATGCTAAATAGTTAGTTGCTACCTTCTACGGCGCTGGAACATTTGGCAACGTCGAAGACTTTTTGACTTTCCTGCTTGTTTGCTTATTTACTTGTTTGCTTTTCGGGGAAAATATTGCCTGAACCAAGGTAAAGAGTTACTAAACTCTACAAATACACACTCGTGCACGGCAGTCGAGAGCTTTTAAACACATATTTGTACAAGTATATATATGCGTATGTGAGTGTGTGCATGAGCTTGTCACGGCAGCCGGATGTGTCGACAGGCGACGTGTGAAGGCGTTCAGCGGTGTGGATTTACGTAAAAGTTTCGGTGGAAGCTAAGAGAGCTCGAAATGCGCAAACACTCACCTAAGCAGCGGCAGCTGAGGAAGCGTCGGATCTGATTATAGTGTCGTGTACATGCAGGCACGTTACAACCACGCCCGCGCAAACAATATTGCAACACTTCATCACCGAAATTTTACACACTTTGCAACACTAATTGTATGCGTGTGTGGCCAAGGGTTGAGCTTTAAGGCTTATCAAGGGACGAAATTGAAGATCAAGTCTGCATTTTAATATATATGTATAGATTTTCTAACTAAATTTGTCGTCTTAAAGCAATGAAGTTCTAAGTTATCCAGTTAGGTGGACATGAGTCCATCCGAAATCAGAAAACACATAACTTTTTCTTTATATTACAGTATGTGAGATTATGTCTCTGGATCCGGAACCCACATTCAGAGCCCAGAGAACAATTTGTGAGCCCTGCAACATTATTTTGAAGAAACCGTTTCCAAAACAAGCGAAAAAAGTTATTGGAAGGGATTCTGATTTTTAAGCGACCAAAAAGTTCAAACAACACAGTTTCGAAAGCTGACATTTGGTAAACTTTTTCGTATTGGTGTAAGAAATAATTTGAAGGCTTCACCGATACATTCTCCGTCCTATTCAGAATAAGAAAGCGTTGGTTAGAGTTCTCAAATAAACTCGAAAATTCAGAAATTTTCATTTTTATGCCCGCCTTAGCAGGTCTTCAAAAAGAGGTAGACAAAATGTTACAGATTCCCTCTCTATGCCACCAGTCGTCTCTTCACAAAACCTTGACTTCACAGTTAATTTCTTCCCAATAACTAAAAAGTAGCCCTAAAGATTCAACACRAATCACCATACGCTCCCACATAACCTCACATGGAAACAAAATATTTACCAACCAACACACGCACACACGCAAAAGTCGCCGATAACTGTAAGTATGCTAGTGTAAATCGCTTTGATGGCACATATGTGCGCATCCACTTTAAAAGTTCTTGCGCGCTTATCCGCCGTATGCAAGCGTGCGCCTGCACCCACCGCGCGTCGAGCGCGTCGCCACCGTCTTTAACTACTTACCCGCGAACGCAGCTGTGCCAAAACTTCGGCAATGTCGCCATGTTGACATGCATACATAAGGCTTGTGCAGCCGCGCGCCAAGCGGATTTGCGCGCCGCCTTCGTCAACGCCCTCGCCGCCAACCTTGATGTTGTATACAGCTGTCGCCGTTGTTGTTATTGTTGCTGGCGCTGATGCTGGTGTTTTCGCTGCAGCAGCTGTCGCTTTGCGCGCTGTCAACGTGTAGACGTTTTTTATAGCCGGCGGTGTCGGTGTCGAAGTCGGTCTCGCAGGAAATATAGGCGTTGCAGTAKAAGCTGCCACACTATCACTAACAATTGGCGTTGCTGTTCTTTCTTTCTTTCTGTTGCTGGCGCGCTGTTTGGCATGCATACCGCGTTGCCTGTAGTCTTCTTTAACGGTTTCGCTGGCAATGTCACGTGTTGACCGTGTCACCGTTGCAGTTGCTGGGTGGTGCGGTGTAGTAGTTGACATCGTCAATAGCGGACTTTGGAATTGTAGGCGCTTCTTCGATTTACCATTACCCGACTTGTCCAGACTCTGCGCCGCGATGCTGTGTTCTTCAACGCTTGCGTCACTCCGCACGCGCCTGTCGCCGTTGCTGGCTTTTAAGCGCGGCGGTTTTTTGGGCGCATCACCTGAAACCGACACCATGTGTTGTTGTGCCTGCGCGCGTTCCATTATCATTGCTTACTGCTGATGCTTCACTTGTTTTTCGTTTGACACGCGCGCCTGTTTTTCGCCGTTTCTTAAATTTATGTTTTTGCTTATTATTCACTTGGTGTTTTTTGCGCGCTTCGCGTTGCTTGCGCGTCTCAGTCATTTTCGCTCAATTGGCCACATTTTAGCAAATTACTATGTTCGATGTACTGTCTTATATTGTGCTGGGTCGCGCGCATTTCTTTAGTAACTATACAAATTGCAAAATAAGTTAGGGCCCATTGTGTTCTCTACTTAATCACAATGGCGCGGAGGCTTTTCTTTTCACTGCAGTCATTACATGCATTACTGTCAATGTGTGCACTCTTACGTAAACACAAACTAACACATTTTTTCCACCATATATGCCTGCGCGCCTGTGCTTATGCTACGCGAAATCCCTTAAAAGCGCTTACTCCACTTCACTGAACTCGATTGAATCGCATTACAATCAGCTTAAATTCTTGTCTTCTTTTCATCTCTCCAGCCAACGCCGCGCTCAGCAGCGTGCGCTCAACTTACTTTTTGTAGATGCCGGAGCACGTAAGTACATGCCAAGCATGCTTTTAAATAATTAAGAATGCACATACACAAATTCGCACACACACAAACACACTCTTACGATCTCATTTGCGAAGGCGACTTATGTGAACAGTGTGAAAATTGTTGACACCCACTCTTGGCTTGCGCCACACTACCAAAGTCTCGATGCAGGCAAATCCAGCCAAAAAATACAACAACGSAAATTACAAAAACAACCAACTTTYGCCAGCGTTGTCACCTTGTGTCGCGCACAGTTTGCCGCGCTAGTGTTCTCCGCGCCGCTGATCAATGCACGCCCGCGATTTCACACGTCTCATCGCAAGTGCCACGTGTGCTTGCAGTATATGCATGTGTGTGTGGGTGTGTGTWTATGCATGTGTGGCATAGTTAATCGCGCGGAAAATAGTTTTCACTACAATTCGAACGCAGCAAAGCAGAAACCGAAATCCATTTAAATAGATTCCGTTGTAACGAACWTCACTCACACAAACACGCATGCACCGACTTGGACGTGCGTCGGTATTTTTGGCTAACAGTTTTCCTAAAATTTATATTTTCWTATATAAACTAACCAAGCTTCTGCTAAGAAATATGTGTATGTGAGTGTGTTTTGAWAGTTTAAAATTCTTTATCGATTTTTAAACACTTCACCAAAGCGTGCTTCGCTGAGTTGATTGAGATTTTGGAATTTCCTTAAAGGTTTACTCTAAAGGGTGTGTTTAATTGAAATTTAAAAACTACTTGCACGTTTTTTAGTTTTAGTTATGAAACAAAAATGTAAATATTCTCGCTGAAGCTGAATACACAAAATTAAGCAGAAAATAATTTTAAGCATGTTACGTACAGGTCATCACGCTAGAAAGTAGTCACTGCGGGGGCTTAGTAACCAGTGCTGAAGTCTTTGCTCTACTGTGATTAAGTGCATGACTACCATGTTATTTGAAGGGTTCTTATCCTGGCTACCAAAAGATTTATCTCGATAGCAAACCGCCTGATAATTTCAACACATTTTGAAGTGTAAAGTAACCAAAAATTAAAAAAAAATGCATAATTGTTACAAAATCAATTAAGAAATGTTTTGTAAAGATCTTAAATTCTTACGTTCTTCCAAACAAGGCAATAAAATGTATATTAATAATTATTTACTTGGAAATTTTTAGAGATACAAGTTACTCAATTCTATTTATTTCGACGGCTTACGACTATCCGGATACGGCAAACCAAATATAATTATTCGAATAATGCCGGTTAGTCAAATAATAAGAGCTCAATCTCAAGATTAAAGTTCCTAAAGATTGTTTACGAGTTAACACAAACTACCTAGCTAGCTGGGTGACAAGAAGCGCCTGAGCCATCACTCATTTTATATATTATGCCAGGCGGTATAAAACCCCGGATATACCACTTCTCTCACTGCGGGGTTATCGGCTTCACCATGTCGAAAAAATGAAGTACTTCGACCCCGTCGTTGACAGAAAGCTATCATGTCGAAGTGGGGGTGAGTAAGGCAGTGGTTGTCTTATATTGTTGTGAATGAACTATTGGGAAGCAGTGGGATCTCTCACCAAAAAATTTGTTTTGGCTTTACGAAAATGCAGTGAGGCCAATACCAACGATGACATTTAATGCCGAGAAGCCCATAGATCTCCGATCTATCAGCGCATAGATCTCCGAGGGATATGTGGCTGGGTCGTAATCTCAGGAGGCGAAGTAATCTTTTGCATGGATGGTTCGAAGCTAAAGGAGAAGTTTGGAGATGGAATATTTTGTTAGTAACTCATAACCAGCCCCTGTTTAAGATTGTAGTGCTTTTCTGGCACATATCGTAGCTGTTAAGTTATCAGCAGATGTACTTCTACGAAGTGTGAAGTCCCTTCATTTAGAGGGATATGAATCCACTCTTATAGACCTTAAGCTCTTTGCCAGTGAGTTCAAATCTATTCAAGAGGTGCATAAGAGCACCCTTTCCCAAATCACGGCTGGATGGGATGAAAGAGTGTTCCCTTTTTTCTTGTACGCGGCTGCTGAATCTATGGGTGTCGCGGGAGCTCGGTAAGCGTTGGTCAGCAACCAGCACTTTTGAGATGACAAAAGCCTCCAATCCTATAGAGAAATATAAAGGCCTATTGCCCTATTAGCTCAAAGCAAGGTTCACACGGCCACAATGATAGGTTTCCAAACTGACTACTGTTTCTTTGGCACGCAAGCGGCTTGGCTAAAGACTTTGGAGGGCGAATCTTGAAAAATTTGGTGGAATCAAGAATAGGTTAAAACATCTAGACCCTTTCTACGAACCCGATAAATTGGCTGGAATAAATATTAGTAGATATGCGACGGTCCTTGTGATGCATACCAAGTGTTCTGGGCATCACAACGGACAGGTGCCCTTAGCTGTCAAAGTGAGATTATTCGTGGCGTCAGAAAAAAGAGTATATTCATCCATTTGAAAATGTATATAGTATATATTTAAAGCTATTTGAATGATTATGAAYGTTTTTGATGAATTTATGTGACCGCAAAAGAATAAGAAAACTTGGTAGAATGACAGCAGTATGCGGTTCATCATGTGCAATAACTTGGAAATTTTTACAGATACTGATTACTAATATCTATTTAATTTTTGTTCATTATTTATTTCAAAAGTGAAGGTTKTCTTTTTACTAAACCTTATATCAAAGGGCCAGGTTTTCGTCAGAACAAAAAAGTTTCTTTAAATCCAAAAAAAAAAGTATTTAATATATACATAAATAAAAAGCAGTATGGACATTTCTTCACTTGTCAACTCAAAAACTAAAATATTTATGCATAATTTCTGTTTTGCTGACAGCCAAGCTTCTTGCACCACTTGTTCGCTTAAAATCACTATTCAGAAAACTTTCAGCGCAACGCAAAACGGACGAAAGCCCGCAAAAACTTGTGCTTGCCATCATTGCTCAGAAAATGATAAGTAAAAGCTTTGAATAAATTTCATGTAAAGTTGAGGTAAAATTGATAATGATATTTATGCTAAACGCACTCCAACGCTTTTTATTCCCGTTATACTACAGTAAAGTGGAGAACAAAATTTTTTCAAGAAATGTCAATGCGCGAAATATATTTAAGGGCTATGCTTGGGTGATGAATTGAGCTGTGAAGTGCTGTAACGATGACAGGAGCAAGGATGTGTAGAGGCGCTCCATTTCTCATGCGCACTGAAAGCTTTACAGAATTATATGGGGGGCAAGAAGAAGCAATGCGGACAAATACACAAATATTTGTTTATAATGGAAATATTATTCTTTTTTTTTTTTTTTGTTTGCGTTTGGAAAGAAATTGAAATTGAAGAGCTGCTCTTTACGTCTTCTATGAAAAAAATAAATAAGAATTCAAAATATTTACTTCAAGGTTCCCTGCAAATCCCAAAAGTATGCTTGCATTCAAATAATAATGCTGCCCCTAAAAGCACCACTACTTTTTCACATTCCCTCAAATACCGCTGTACGAAAATAAGGAGTGAAAGCAACTTCGCGCACATATCAATCAAAAAGTGCGCATTATTGGCAATTCGCACGCTTTTCGTAATCCCCGATAATGAATTTGTGAACGCGTTGATCAATGAGTGAGGTGAAATGTGAATTGCGAATTACGAAGCACATAATATTCAAGGTAAGTATTGAGTGAAATAGCGCTTCACCAGAGTAACACAATTGCGGCTTGTCAGCTGTCAATTACACTTGAAATTTACAGTTCTTACCGTTGGAGTCTAAACATTTGCGTAATCAGTCAAATTTCGCCATTCAAGCGCGAGTTAGTAGTCTGCCGAAAGTGAATTATGTTATTTTGTGCGCAAAATTCACATCTTTACGAGAATTCTTCAATACATAAAAAAGTTTATTTATGATTGACATCACTTGCAAAAAGAATTTTAGTAAATAAATATTTTAAGAGTTAGAAACCTTTTGTTGCTCTTTTCTGTGCGCGCCGTAATGTAGGCAATATTTTTCTGAAGGTTGCATATTTGACTATGACAGCATATTGACGAAGCTACCAAAATAAAGCTAAAATTCAATATTTGTTAAAACATTGTTGCATTTTCATAATTTTAGTAACAACGGTTGAGCTATTTCAATTACTCTCCTCTAATCGTTCGGTAAATCAGCAAATGTCTCTCCCCCATACAAACCATTTCAATGAAGCACCTAATTGTAGGCAACATTTATATTACTTTCTCAATTTAAGCGATACTAAGTACATCTCACCTGGCCATATACAAGTATTTGAAAGTCAAAAGTCATTTATGCTAATAGACTAAAAAGTATATGGAAAATCCATGAAATAAATATGGTATATCAGAAATATTACATACATTTTAGCTCGCGAACAAAAAATCTGTCTAACAGTCTTATCGTTTCAATCGATTAATTTGCTATTGGTTACTTTTTCTCAGACAGAGAAGTTACTGAGAA